ACACACCGGCTGTGAAAGTCGAGGGCTCATCTCGATTGTTGTACGCGCCATGAGAGGACTAACGATCGGTTGGTTCACCGTTACAACGACCAGACAACACGGTGCGTGGCGAGCCAATGGCAGCCAGGCCACCGCGAAATTCCATGGAACTTCCGTTCAACCGCGTTCCAGAATTCTTAACGAGATGAATTGCGACCGAGACTTCTCGTTTCTTCGAGAAATTTTTTTTCTTTTCGACTCTTAGTGTTTTTTTTTTAAAGGAAAAGTTAGCAGTTCGGTTCGTATAAATAATAATAAAAAGACTTTTGCAGTATCAGCAAAGAGAATTTATCTCGATAGAAGAAAAATAATCGAAGAAATAAAAAAGAAAGAAAGTGAATCTTTCTAGAAGTTCTTAATGTCTGTCATTTTTTTTTTTAAATAAATAAAAGAACCGTATTTCTAAATCAATTTTTTTTAGAGATGCGTGTTAAAACGCGGATATCGCAGAATAGGAAAAAAATTTCCATCCTTTGATTCGATCGTTCCACGTTTAACTCCAATTTAATTCCAACCATAGGTTTCACGGGGGCGACAAAGGAATAACAGATGCCTACCTGCTAGTTTCATCCTTTCTTTCTTTCTTTGGGACGGTTCTTTAGAATGATAATACTCGTAAAGATTCAATAGAAAAGAAGATGGACTCACCTGAAACACACAAAGAAAAAGATTTACGTTTAGATATGATTTATCGAGAGTGGCTCGAGAATTAAATAATATGATTCTAATTACGTTCCTGCGTTCACGATTTTCTTTTTCTAAAATTATTCATAATGTGATTTTGATTGAAAAAATTGAATAAATTGTAAATTCCATATTTAATGACTCTACTCATTTTTAAGTACGCTGATCGCACGTAAAATCGACCGCCTATTTGTATTCTTTCAGAAAACCGAGCATTACCATGCCTTCTCACGCGTAGATCCCTTCCAAATTCTCATAACTTTTCCACATTCTCGTTCACATCTTCCTTCTTCAAACGCATCTATCAGAATCCAAATCCACGAGAATGAAAATCTTAAAATTAATACCACACTTCCTCGAATCAACAAAGAATCTTCAATGATAAAACAAAAATATCCTTAAGTAACAAACTTTCGCAATCCAAATCGTCGATCCAAGAAGGATCAAATCAATCGTCGAACGAGCTCAACTCTCGAGCAATTTCAAATAAATAACCTTTTCTCGTTCGAAAAAATTTTTGGAAAAAAAATCATCTTTTGCAAAATCGAAGAGCAGCACGGAAAGGAGAGCGAAGAGGAGAGAAAGGGGTGCGCGTGGGTGTCGCTAATCAGCAATGGCGCCACTCGAGTGGATTATCAACCTGCGAGAGTCTCGAGGCCAGTTGAGTTCGAGAGGAAGAGAGAGAGAGAGAGAGAGAGTGTTGGCAAAGTGGAGGGCGAGACGAAGAAACGAGATCTGTAAACCGCGATGTAAATGACCGCGGTCACGGTTGGTTACGTCAGACAACGGTGTGAGCGCACCTTTACGACTGAAAAATTCCTCCATCAATTTGTTATAATCGACCGAGAAAAATCGAGAGGGAAGATTTTTCAGGATTTTCGTGCCGCTGGCCGTGTTTGGGATTAATCATTGAAACCTTGAAGGGGTTGATTAGGAAAAGGAAGTTAGAAAGAAAGGTGAGCTGGAAGGATAGGAATATTTTCTGAATTTTAATGATCAGGAAAATTGATGAGAGTTTTTACGTCGTTGGATTGGTTTGGGATTAATTATTAGGAAGTCTCAAAAGAAGTTGATTAGAAAAAATGATTAGTGATTAGAAAAAAAAAGTGAGAATTGTTGAGAAAATCGCGTAGTAAGTGATATTGATTATCGAAGGGATTATTGGAAGAAAGGGTAATATATTTTAAAGTAAGAAAGTTTATAAACTTCGTGAATAGATTAAATATCTAAAATGAATTCTATCTGAATTTAATTTACTTCTCGATATAAAATTTTTGAACGATACATTTATTTTCATGGAATTAAATCATTTCGAATAATATTATCCTGTTTTCAACAAGAGAGATGTAGTTAGACATCTCGATCGATTTATCAAATTGAGACAGACAAATTGAGCCCTCGATTATTCTTCCCGCTTAGAACAGAACGTTGAAAAGGAAGAAAAACTAACAGCCTTCGTGTGAAACGATAAACCAATGACAGATTGATTTTATTGCAGATTTCTCGTGGATTTTAATCCAGAGATTCGTGACATCTTAATGCTCCCTCCAATCTACGTTCCTTTCTCCAATTTACAAATCATAATCGTCTAAATTATTTTTATCTTTCTTCCATTTAATTTTCGTGAAATTATAAAAAATCAATCAATTCTTTGTTCTTAGTTTAATTCTTCTTTCAAAAGAAACAAAATTTGCAATATTCTCGAAAATTACTTTTTCGCTATATCCAAGGAAACTATTGTAGCAACTACTCTCGACACGATGTCTACTTACGAAGAATTTTTTTTTCAAATACATTTATATACCTTACTTCCAAAAATGGGAGGGAAAAAGAAAAAAATTACATTAACTCAATTGATAATTCACCGAAACACGGTACACACACATGTAGAAATAAATTCTTTATATTCCTTCCATACACTTTGAATATAAACCGCAATTTGGGTCACGTTACGCGTCCCACAAACGTATCTCGAATTAAAAAAGACTTAAAAAAAAAAAAAGCAAGCAGCAAGGAAAAAAAGGGAGGGAGGGAGAAAAAAGAAAAATGTCAAGAGCTCGACTAACGCGAGTTAATGGTCGTCAGATCGTAATTGCGAACAGAAATAGAGAGAAATAATGGTCGAATCGATTAACCGCAAAAAGGACACTATCATTTTTTCTTTTCTCTCTCTCTCTCTCTCTTCACGTTATTTTGTACGTGACCGTGGATGCCTTTTCGAGCAATAAGAACGTTCCTCTGTCAAGCAACAGGATTTATGGAGGAAATCTCTAATTGAACTGCTCGTAAACTGTTACGAAACGCAACTCTGTTCCCGTGCCCAATTGTTCTACCTCGTAAAAACTTGTTCGTTTGCGCGTTTTATGTATTAATAAAGAGCGTGTTTCAACGAGTGTCCTTGCCGAAATTCGCTTGTAAATGTTGCTCACTTTTACGATCGTTTGTATTCTTTTTTTTTATTTTTTTATTTTTTATTTTTTAAGAAGAATTTGTTTTTTTTTTTTCATATTATTTAAAAACTGTTTCTTCTTTGGTAATGGAATACAAAAATTCAAAGTTCGATGAGATAAATAAATGAATTTTTGAAGAAATTGAAAAATTGTAACGATTGATGATTACTTTTTTTTTTTTTAAAAAAAATTCAAAAAGAAAAATTCGAAAAGTTTGACAAATCTTTTAAAATATAAATATTCTCGAGAGAAGAAAGAAATTGGTAAGAATATATCAGATATAAAAAATTGTTTGAAAATCATCTCTTTCGTAGAAAATATAAGAACAACTAGAAGCATCGACAAAGAGGCTGAGTGAAATAAAAAATATCGAAAGAAAAAAAGAGTTTGAAAATTGGAAATAAAAAGAAAAAAAAAATTACTACCACTTTATTGAAAGTGTTGGAAAAATATATTAGATATTTTTAATAGATTTCTATTCACTTACATCATCGAACTGCTTCGCAATTACACGAGTTACGCTTCAAACGTGTTACAGAATCGAGAAACGCTAATAATGTTACGACGCTCTTAATTACCGTCGGCTAACCGCAAAACCACGTATTACAGTCTATAAATTTCCATTGTCTTGTTATCTCGATGGTATTTCAAACGGGTATAAAGAAAAGTGAAATAAAGTTTTAATAACCTGACAATAAAAAATGGCGCGTTATTTAAAAACATTCTCAAACACATAATTACTAGAATTCTAAATGCAATAAAAACACGATCGTAACCACGTGAAAATTCGTAAAAGTGTTAATTTAATGTAACTTTGTTACATAACACTTATTTTAATTATTAATTGGCATCTTATTTATCATTCCAACGCGATAACTATTGAACATCTTCTAACGCGATAAAGAAACCGCTTTAACTCTATAGAAATTCGTCTAAAAAAAAAAAAAAAAAAAAACAAAGATTTTTAATTAATCATTTAACCTCTGCATTATCACCAACTATATTTCTATTGATAATAAAATTATTAATAATAAAAACTCGGGGGGAAAAAAATAAAAAACGAACGAAGAAGAAAGGAGATCTATACAACAATACTTTAGCACGAAGCTAAAGATGTTGAAAAGAATATGTACGTGAAGAACGGTGGTGAAGACACGTGGAAAAAAAAAGGGGGGGAGGGGGGATAATTAGGCGGTCGAGTTCAGTGAGATGATAATAAACCGATTAACGAACGGATACGAGGCTGTATCCAGTTGTTACAAAGTAAGATATAAATGCCGTGATAAACGGAATCCTCCATTTGCCAAGGAAACCGGCGTTAATTACTTGTCCGTATTAATTGCCTTTAAGTAGGACAATTTTGCGGGACGATCCTATCTAAACACGAGGAAACGACTGTGGTTATTGATTACAACATTTGATAGAAAAAAAAAAAAAAAAGAAAAAAAATGTAATTTTCATTTAATCGCCTTACCAAGAGAATGATACTTAATTGAGATGGATATCGAGAAAAACTCGTTGACGATTTTCAATTCTCTCTCTTTTTAATTAATTTCGAGGTATTCGGTTTATCGGTTTAAGAAGCTTTTTAGAAATTTTCTCAGTCAGATGGACGAGGTGGTTTTAAAGGTTATAAAATTAATATTTCAAATTGAAAATTGATTTCCATTGTTTTTTTTATTTTTATTTTTTATAATATTCCCAGTGATATTCTATAAAGTAGAGGTAGGCAGACGTGTGTTACGTTTCGCGTTACTTCCATGCTATCAACGTTAATGCATTTCATACGTGGAAGAATGTAAGTAGATGCAAATTTAATCTCTTAACGCTCTCGTCGTTTCAATCATTACATACGTATAGAATATGGAAAATTTCAAAAGCTTTATATGTGATATAATTTTTTAACGACTTTTCCATTTGTTCCATCTGATCTCTAATTAAAATCATATTGATCCTAATTTTATTTTGAATTAACTATTTTGATTAAAATACAAACCGTGCTATACATCTCGTCTTTCATCCATCCATTTCTTCAACTTTTCCATTCCAATTACCCTTACAATCATCAATCACCAATAATTAACACATCGTGTGATAAAATGAAAGGCAACATTTCCAAACTACTTAATTTCCTACTTAAAATACTACACAAAAAAATCCAAATTAAACCAATATAATTCAAAAGAAAAAAAATCACATCCGTTTCAATTTACCATTCCCCCCCCCCCCTCTCTTACGAATCACAATTCTTCAAACCAAAAAGAAAAAGAAAAAGAAACGCGTATCTTTCGTTCCAAAGAAGATCGATCGATCCACACACGCACGTGCACGTGCACCCTCGATAAACACCACTCGATAGACGAGTGATCCCCCCCTCCACCCGTCCGCCATTGTCCGTTGAAACGTGTAATCTTAGCGAGCGATGCGTCAACGGGTGACATTTTCGCTTCTGCTAACGCGGCACGCCGCGTGACATTTCTGCGACAACAGAAATACGATTCTCTCGTGGGGACAGAGAGAGCAGGATAGAGACCCGACGCCCACCAGGAAAACCGGTCGCGTGGAACACTCTGCCTATCTTCAAAGAGAAATAGATCCCGCGAGTTCCGCGGTGAGGGAGGGAGGGAGGGAGGGGATACAAAAAGAGGGTGGTATGGCAGGAATGATTTGAATGCGCGATGAGGATGGAAATATTTGTGAGAAATTTTTACGGGCTGTGAGCGATGAGAAATTCTGTGTGTTTTGGAGGAGAATCTTTGAAATTCAAGGCTGGTCGAAAATTGGGGGGAAATAAGAAATGATGATAAATTTTATGATAGAGGGCTAATGATGATGAGATGGATTTTAAGAAATTTCGATGGAATATCAATGATAATGCGTTGTGTAATGCGATGGATGGAAATATAGGTCCAAAGTTATAGGAGATATATATAAATTTTTCGACAACGAAATAAAGGATAAAAGGATAAAAGACAGTTTTAATTTAGAGTAAATATATTCAAAAATTTCTGTGTAAAATATTAAACAGGCTATATTCTTTCATTTCGTTTTCAACTCGAATATATAAAATAACCTAATTACAGTCAGCTAAGGAATTGAAAAAAAACGAGAATATAATATTTTTTTCGTATAGAAAGAGTAACTGTCGTATTATCTCGTTTAACAAGTAGATACAATATCAGTAGGTAGTTCTGAAAGAGAAGAAGATGCACGTGACGTACGTACGTCAATTCAGAAACCGGAGAAAGTACTGTTTTGAGTTGTAAGGTAATAAAAGAAACGTAGTATTACGTTGTTTTCAATAGGCCAGGCACGTAACGTCGCGTATAACAGCAATATACGAAAATATATTTCTTATTTCTACCAGTTAGAAATCTCTTTTTCTACGGAATTCTCTTCCTTTGCAATTATTACTCGAATATATATAAATAATATTTTAACGAGATACGTCTCAAACAATACGTTTATTTCGTTTCGACAAGTATCTTTCGATAAAAAAAACTTTTCAAAAAGATGAACGTTTGAAAAGTAGAAACTTCATTGTAAATTATTATTACCCAATTTCCAAATAATTTCATATTCTATCCTCTTTACAACCCAAAATTCTTAAAATCGAACACGATTTATCTCCAAAAATACTGTACCTAAATTTTATACCCCTTCAATCGTCCAAAGTTCTTATAATCGAATAATACGATTTATCCAAAACTATTTTACCTAAATTTCCAAATAATTTTCAAATTTCGTATTACCCTTCAATCATCCAAAATTCCAAAATTCTTACAATCTTATGTTACCCTTCAATCGTCCAAAATTCCAAAATTCTTACAATTTTATACTGCCCTTCAATCGTCCAAAATTCCAAAATTCTTACAATTTTATACTGCCCTTCGATTGTCCAAAATTCCAAAATTCTTACAATTTTATACTGCCCTTCGATTATCCAAAATTCCAAAATTCTTACAATTTTATACTGCCCTTCGATTGTCCAAAATTCCAAAATTCTTACAATTTTATACTGCCCTTCGATTGTCCAAAATTTCAAAATTCTTGCAATCTTATATTACCGTTCAATCGTCCAAAATTCCAAAATTCTTAACCGACACGATTTATTCCATCGAAAAAATATTCGATCCATCGAATCGTCTCGGTTTCTACGCGCACGATTCCTTCGAGACGACGGTCCGAGAGCGGATTAAATGGGATCACCAGCCGCGTAAATAATTCTTTCATTTCCCTCCGGGTTCATTCATACCCTCTCCTCGCTTCTTTCCCTCGCCGTCGCCGAGTAATTATCGTTGTTGCGCCAGTTGTCTCCTTCTCTTTCGCCAAAGAGAGGCGGCGTCCTCGAAGCCAGATTAAACGCATCCGGTTCACGCACCGCTTTTGTGAAAGCGTCGAGACGCGTATTACGCGTACCACGTTCCACGAATCGTTTCCAACTTCGATATATTGTATGTGCGCCGCAAGTAGGGACGCTTCCGGGCGTTGCACCGGAAGTAGAGGCGCCCGACACTCGGCGTTCCTCCTCGAGCGCTGTTGCGCGGAAACGGGAAGAGGATACAACAACGCTTTCGTTTCCGTGGTTGAACCCTTCCACTCGTTTCATTTCGAATTTCATTTTTTATAGCTTTCACGCTGACTATAAATGACTGTATAGTTCACGTATAACGTGCGCTAACTCCTCTCCAATCTTTTTGGATTTTCTTGAATTTTTCGGTGAGAAAATTCACCGAATTTACGTGATTACAGTTATTTGGAGATTTGAACATTTGTTGTAGGGTGTTAATTGAAATACATCTCCTTATTTTCGAATACGATGAAAATGTACTTGAAAAGTATTTTTTTTAGTTCTGTCTATCTTTAAATAATCTAAAAATTTGATAAAATAAGTTTTTTCCTTGATCCTAACGTAAAATTTACAAAAAAAAAAAAAATGATCACAATTATTAAAAGTATCTATCACTTTCTTCGAGAACGTATCCCCAAGAGAAGCTCGTCCCAAAGAATTCCAGAGCGGTCTAAAAATTTCCAAAAAAGAAAGAAAAAAAAAGAAATAGACCACGAAAACATCCCCAACTCTCGGCAATTTAGTAACAGTTACACTTAACGAGCAACGCCTGTCGCTTGATTGTCTCAACGAGGCGCCTCCTCCACCCTTTTTCACCATGCTCACCTCGAAACAGACGGAGAAACTGTTGGTTGGAAAAAGGAAACGGTCGGTACAGAGGCAAGAGGATTCTTGGTGGAGAGAGAAAGAGAGAGAGCGAACCGCCCACAGAGAGCGGATGCTGGGTCGACAGGGTCACCTCTCCGGCAAAATGAATCTTTTATGCCTCGCTTTTACGACGTCCTCGAGAACACGCCGCTCTCTCTCTCTCTCTCTCTCTCACCGTTTTCGTTTCACGAGACTGGACCAGACTGGCGAGCGATTAACTTCGCTCGCTTTTACGCGACAGTGTATCGAGATCTGCGCCCCGAACGATGTTTCAGTGTCCGTTTGAAACCACGAAGAATTCGAGTGATTTTTTTAATTTGTCAATTCGTACGTTTCGAACGTTTAAAGTGTTCAGATATTTGAAACTAATAGCGCGATCAATTTTTCTTATAAATGTTTCGCACGATGCGAATGCGCGAGAAATTTTCAGCGAGAAATTATCATTCGATGGATTGGAAGAGTAATTTTGTTGAATATAAATTGTTCCCAGTAATTTTTAATTTTTTGAACGAATTCAACGTGTGTGAACGAATATTCGAATCTCGAGTGTTAAAAGCGTGTAAATAAAAAGTGAAGTTATGAAGAAAGAGATAGGAAAAATTGAAGGAATATTTGGCTATTGGCCAAATATAGCTTCTTATTTAATCTGTTCTATATTAAATAAGCTTTCGACGCGAGCAAAAGCGAAAGTGATTCATACTTTGGGAGGTAAAATGTGAAAGGCAGGCATCCTCTTTTAGTAGGAGGACATTGATATTAATGCCGCTTTAACGATCATGAAGCATCCATTTAATGAACGTGATCGTCGCGTGCCACGAGCCACCCTGTTATTCAATTTAATACAGCACCGTCGGCTTTCGATCCCTCCATTTACGAGGCAACGTTTCGTGTTACGTGTAACAGAATTATAGTCTTGTCGGATTTGTTAAATTTCATCTTTCGAGAAAATAATTAAAAACTAACGTATCGATTATTTTTATTTAATTCTTCGTATTCTTAACTCTACAATAAAATACACGTATCTTTTTATTTTTATATTATCTTTATCTTATATTTTTACATAATTGTAACATAATATATCATAACCAAGCGGAATATTAATAATCCCCGATGTTGGGTTAATTTTAATTCGAAAATAAATATATATTTTTCAAATATATATAAAACACTAGTTTATAATATCTGAATTTAATACGAATTAAAATCCAACACTGTCCGATTGTTAACGATTAAAGATATTAATTAATAGTGATTAACTTTGCTAACTAATTTTCTTCTTTCATAGGTTTGAATTGAAAATAGATTACTTATTACACTGGACAGTAATTAATGAGGAGTAGTTATCAGTCTTACTGCCTAACTGCGTCTTTACTTTTTTAACATAAAAGTTTTCCAAGAAATCTTTTATATGTATCTTTGTAAATATATTTTGTAACATTTTTTGACAACAACCTTTCCACTATCAATTGGTCGGTGAACCAAAAACAAATTATACCACGTATGAAGCTACGAACGACCCATCCGACACATCCAATAAAAATGAATAGCGAATGAGGGAGACTAACGAGCAGCAGAAGAAGAATATTTCGCGCGAATGTTTTCCTGCCACACGGGAAACGTT